AAAGAACCAGTAGGAAGAATCCCTGGCAACCGTGTAGCGGAAGGTTCACCAAGCCTCACCACTGCAGATATACTTCAAGTTCTTATTGGAACCTCAACTCGAGTTTCATCTCTTTCGTGCGCTCAAAGGCAAACCCTGAGAATAGTCCGACTATTAGGAGGGATACCACGGGGAAATTTTGGAGGACGTACCCTCCCTTTCAAAAGCGAGAAAGCGTCGGGTGCAGACCATACACCACAAGTGACGACGGCCTCCACAAAATGTAAATGTTTTCTGCCAATGAAATGATTAGCCTGTTGCAGTTGTATTCTATCAGTTGTCACTAATTACAACTATCATTTACCAAAAATCAGCTATCACTATGAACCACTACTAACCAGATTTACTTGGAGGCCGTCGTCACTTGTGGTGTATGGTCTGCACCCGACGCTCTTCTGTTTTTCGAAATTTACGGTACCTTCATGGACCACGTCAGCTTCGTTGCCCAAATTGCGCGCTAATCCACTACGTACCTGCAACAATCCACCCTCGCTGCAACGCTTCCCACCCACCGCTACGATATAGAGATCAGCGTGCTCTCTCGAACGGCGTGCTCTCTCGCGTGTTTTGTCTTCTTTGATCGCCCTGTCTCGCCATCGTACCACATCCGACGTTACAGTAGATTAAGGTTTTTATTTTAGTATCCCATGAGTCCTCTTATCCTCTTTTCCACTTTTAGTTCATTCCGCAACGCTACGAAGCGCTTTTGGGCCGATGTCAGACTTTGCGAATCGCGCGATTCGCTAGCGTCCGCGGTCGCGTTGCGGTACCAGCCAATTGAGTGATTCACTGGCCGCGACGCGACCGCAGACGCTAGCGAATCGCGCGATTCGCAAAGTCTGACATCGGCCTTAAGTTTATCTCGGGACTTGCCTTTAGGCATATAAGTGAGAAATGAAGAAAAAATGAAAAAAGTGATTCTCGCAACTCCGCACAAAAATTTCCAAATAACTCTCAGCTGCGCAAGTCATAGGCTTCTGGGACAAGTAGTTGTCTTGGGATTGCTCATAAATTATGGACTACGATAGGGACTACGTCATAGATTGAGACCCTCTTCTACTAAAAATATGAGCTTTTGAAGTGAAGGTGAATCTTTTCATGAGCATCGCTCAAATTGCCGATCGTGGCCCCAACTCGCTAGCAATTCGCTCAATTCACAAAGTCAGACACTGGCCTGGAAACTATTGTGGCACTCACTTGAACCTTAGGAAAAGACAAGATCAATAACCTGCAGAATAAGCATGATTAGCATTTGTCGATGGAGTTTCTTTGTTTGGAGACTCATTGCGTTCACTCTTAGACAGTGATCAATACTCCACGCACAGAACGCCACAACAGTGCCGAGTACCAGTATAAAAAAGAAAGTCTCCACAAGAAGTATGTATTCCGCTGTCGAAATAAACTGTAATATGTACTGATTATGCATGAACACTTACAAAGGGTGTGCCGAGCACATCAGGACCAAGGCAGATGTTACGGGAACATTGCTGCCTATTAGGGCTGAAAGTAGAGGTGGTAGAGT